GTGTATATTGTGCAAAAAGGAGTGAAGAGATGAATATTGATGTAGTTATAATATTGTTTCATTGTTGTATATACTAATGTTGTTGTTGTGTATATTGTGCAAAAAGGATTGAAGAGATGAATATTGATGTTGTTATAATATTGTTTCATTGTGGTATATATTAATGTTGTTGTTGTGTATATTGTGCAAAAAGGATTTAAGAGATGAATATTGATGTTGTTATAATATTGTTTCATTGTGGTATATTGATGTTGTTGTTGTTTAAAATGTTATAATGAAGCTATAATTTCTGGTGCAAAAATGGTGAGATTAAATTTGATAGGCAGTGTTTTGTTTTAAATGGAAAAAAAATTATATTTAAAAAAATATTAAGGAAAAGCGCTGCTAAAGGGGGGGAATAGACAACGCTTTTAATGAGAAGCGCTGTCTAAAATGATTGGAAAAAAAAATATTTTAAAAAATAATAAGGAAAAGCGCTGCTAAAGGAGGGGGAATAGACAGCGCTTTTCATGAAAGCGCTGTCTAAAGTGATTGAAAAAAAAAAAGATATATTAAAAAATAATAAGGAAAAGCGCTGCTAAAGGGGGGGGGGGGGATAGACAGCGCTTTTCATGAAAGCGCTGTCTAAAGTGATTGAAAAAAAAATTAAAAAATAATAAGGAAAAGCGCTGCTAAAGGGGGGGCAATAGACAGCGCTTTCCATAAAAGCGCTGTCTAAAGTGATTGAAAAAAAATAAAAAAATAATAAGGAAAAGCGCTGCTAAAGGAGGGGGAATAGACAGCGCTTTTCATGAAAGCGCTGTCTAAAGTTCCACATTAAAAGCGCTGTCTATACCTTTAGCAGCGGAGGTTTTAACAGCGCTGTTAAAGGCCTAAAAAAGCGCTGTCTAATCCCTTGTTTGGCATAGTGAGAGAGTGACAATTATTTTGAAAAAAAGCTTGATATCTTAGCTTATATATATATATATATATATATCACCACCAACCGTGATAATATGTAAGTATTATTCACAACAATTGCTGATATTAACCATGATGATATGTATTTTTATTCTAATATATTTATAAGAGTATAATGACAATCCCTTTTTGTAATGAAAAGAAGAAAAAAAATGTTGATGTTGGAAATCGAAGCATGTAACCTTTAATATATCGCAGCGGTTATTTTGACGGACCACGATAAAATGTAATTTATTAAAATATTAAAAAATCATGGCAAACAAATATCAATTATTACTATGGTTATTTAGACATTTGTAGTAATATGGTGTTACGAATGATATATTTTTTAGTAGTGTCAATTAACTATACTCATAAATATGTTACAATATATTACAAAATGGGTTACAAGAAATAGAATTCGTCTTCATAGTTTCCAAGAACAAACTTAGAATGCTCCTATGAACAAATCCCTATTTTCTATCTAAATGTTTCTCAACCTCTCCAACTCTCAATATATAAGTCACTCAAATCCAAAGTATCAAGAAGTATTGTCCGACCCTTCTAGATGACTCTAAAAAAAAATTCTTTGATTTCTAAACTCTTATTTTTCTCTTTTGTTCTAAAACTCTAAAATTATCGCACTGCAAATAACAGAATAGATACATATTTATAATTGATAAAACCCAACAAATTCATAAAAGAGACCAAAATAAAACCCATTAATTGTTAGAATAAAATATTATAAATATCTTATAATATCTTTTTATATTAATTTATAGTATTTCTAAAATAATATAAAATATATATTCAATATTCTAACACTAATGAATGGATCCGCAAACCGAACCAACCATACATGATATTTACGAACCACCCAAATTAGATATTTTTGCCGCTTTTCAGCTTCCTGATTTCTGACAATATCAAAACATGTTTTATTTCTCTTTATCACTTAAGGTCTTAAGGCATACTTCAACAAAAGAGAATTAAGGTACAATGTTATTTGAGAAATTTTAATCCTTATTAAAATTATGAATACTAGTTTAGATATTTTATTTTTGAGTATTTTGATGTGATATGGGTGAAATTTTGTGTTGTTTTCGATTTGTAACTTATTCTTATGAGTTGTCACGGTGTGAATCAGATTAATTTTACTAATGTGATGTGGATGAAACTTTATACTATTTATGATTTGTTATTATTATGTGTAAACGCGATGTGAACAAGATGAATTGTGTTGGTTAATGTCAATTAAAAAGATTGAAATAAATTACATTTGAAGAAAAATGATTTTGTGAGTTGAATTTTAAAATGATGTGCTTTAATGAAATGTTGGTGTTGGAAATCGAAGCATGTAACCTTTAATATATCGCAGCGGTTGTTTTGACGGACCACGATAAAATGTAATTTATTAAAATATTAAAAAATTATGGCAAACAAATATCAATTATTACTATGGTTATTTAGACAGTTGTAGTAATATGGTGTTACGAATGATATATTTTTTAGTAGTGTCAATTAACTATACTCATAAATATGTTACAATATATTACAAAATGGGTTACAAGAAATAGAATTCGTCTTCATAGTTTCCAAGAACAAACTTAGAATGCTCTTATGAACAAATCCCTATTTTCTATCTAAATGTTTCTCAACCTCTCCAACTCTCAATATATAAGTCACTCAAATCCAAGGTATCAAGAAGTATTGTCCGACCCTTCTAGATGACTCTAAAAAAATTTCTTTGATTTCTAAACTCTTATTTTTCTCTTTTGTTCTAAAACTCTAAAATTATCGCACTGCAAATAACAGAATAGATACATATTTATAATTGATAAAACCCAACAAATTCATAAAAGAGACCAAAATAAAACCCATTAATTGTTAGAATAAAATATTATAAATATCTTATAATATCTTTTTATATTAATTTATAGTATTTCTAAAATAATATAAAATATATATTCAATATTCTAACACTAATGAATGGATCCGCAAACCGAACCGACCATACATGATATTTACGAACCGCCCAAATTAGATATTTTTGCCGCTTTTCAGCTTCCTGATTTCTGACAATATCAAAACATGTTTTATTTCTCTTTATCACTTAAGGTCTTAAGGCATACTTCAACAAAAGAGAATTAAGGTACAATGTTATTTGAGAAATTTTAATCCTTGTTAAAATTATGAATACTAGTTTAGATGTTTTATTTTTGAGTATTTTGATGTGATATGGGTGAAATTTTGTGTTGTTTTCGATTTGTAACTTATTCTTATGAGTTGTCACGGTGTGAATCAGATTAATTTTACTAATGTGATGTGGATGAAACTTTGTACTATTTATGATTTGTTATTATTATGTGTAAACGCGATGTGAACAAGATGAATTGTGTTGGTTAATGTCAATTAAAAAGATTGAAATAAATTACATTTGAAGAAAAATGATTTTGTGAGATGAATTTTAAAATGATGTGCTTTAATGAGAGCTTGTGGTAGGTAAGTGCATTTACGGCATATGCATATTTTCCCTCTGTGGAGGGTTGTCTATGTAGCATATTGCATTTATGGTGCGCTGTTTATGTGACAGTTTATATTTGGATCAGTTAGTATTAAGAGCACGCATATTCACACGAAAAGATATTTCTAAAATAGTGATTTTTGTGAATTTGATTTCTCTTAAGGTGTTATGTTATGTATGATTTATTTTATAATATCGCACTGAATGTTATGTTTGATTTGATATGAATGATGGAAGATTGATCCACTATGAATAATAAATTAGGTACTAATGAGTTCAAGATGTGAAGCTACAAGGATAAAATATTGGGTGCAATTGGAGATTCATCAAAGGGTTTTGAATTTTGTAATTTTATTTGTAAAGAACTTTTTTTTTATCATCATAACTCTAGAGATGAGGATTTTTAACGTCGTAAATAATTTATTTTAATAATTTTTATTTAGTTATGATTTTTAGAATTTATCGTGAATGATTATGTTGTTTAATACAAAAAAAAAAAATGATCACATACTATTAAGGTGATATTCTTAAAAAATATATTAGATAAAAATTTAGAACGTTACAACGTGGTATCAGGGTAATAATCCTCTTGACAAATATTTTTGTATTGGGAAAAGTTT